GCCAGCTTGGGAGGCATAGTCCTGTGTGTGCTCCTCACTGGGCCTGCCTGCACGAGATGTTTACTGCACACCTGGCTAATTAACTGCACAGTAAATGTCTCAATATCTGTGTGTGCCCTAATCAGGATGCGTGCAACTAATAAACTCTGCAGCAGGGTAGCACTGGTAAATACCTGTAAATACAAGTACTACCCTGCTGCACTTTTTTCATGTACAGCAGCACACGTGTAGACACTGCCTCATCTGGCTAGGGCACAAGGGTGCTTCAGTGCAGGGCTAGGAGGTGCCTGCCAGCTAGCCCTGCACTGGAGCACCCTTGTGTCCAAGCCAGTCCCTTCACCACACACTGAGCCCAGTCAGAGCAGCCCCAGGCTGGCAGGCTGACCTCCCCTGGCCCCTGCCATTCGGTGCTGCTCCAACCCAGCTCAGCATGTTGCAGTCTGGGTGCACATGCAGATGTGCACCCAGCAGCGATCACTCTGGAGCTATTTCTGCACATTAATGGGCACATTTAAATCTGCTCACTAAAGAATAAACTTAATACAGAGTTAAGTCCAGAGTAAATTCACAGTAATCATGCTATGTGACTGCACTGTTAGCTGTCAAATTCCAGCATCTCTCTTTCTTTATGGGGTACTGGGAGCACAGCAGCTCCTCATGCTCTTACGGCCACAGATGTTGGAGGCGGGTCACATCTTTCTGAAATTGCTCTGCAGCAACCCCCAGCAGGTTGGTGTACTCTCAACAGGAGCGGTTGGCCTTATTTCATGGTTCTATGCTATAAATTCAGTCATGACCCTCATCCATAGTCTTATCCTGTTCACTGTGCCCAGTGGTACCCTCTGGAATGGCTAGTTGGTTGTGGGGCTGGTTACCCAGAGTTCTTACCAGACCTACACCCTTTTGTATACTGCCTTACTCTGAATGAACTTTAAATCAATTTCCTGACATGTGTGCTCCACGTAGATCTGGAATAACTGCAAGGCTGTTAAAATATCTTCTCTGTCTTTCAGGAGGAGACACCACTCTTCCTGGCAGCTCGGGAAGGGAGTTTTGAAGCAGCTAAAATTCTGTTGGACCATTTTGCTAATCGGGACATCACAGACCACATGGACCGTCTCCCCCGTGATGTGGCGCAGGACCGCATGCACCATGACATCGTGCAGCTTCTCAATGAGTACAATGTGGCCCACAGCCCATCTGGGCACCCTGGCACCATGCTAAACTCTGCCCTCTCCCCAGTGATTTGTGGCCCCAATAGATCCTTCCTCAATTTGAAACATGCTTCTCTAAGCAAGAAGTCAAGGAAACCAAATGCCAAGGGTGTGATGGCCCCAAATCTTGCCAAAGAAGCGAAGAGGAGAAGGAAGAAATCTCTGACTGAGAGCAAGGGTCAGTTTTCTGAGAGCTCAGTGACCCTCTCACCAGTCGACTCCCTGGAATCTCCCCACGCTTTTGCATCTGAACAAACGTCCTCCCCTGTGATGCCGTCCCCAGGGATTCTGCATTCCTCACCCAGCTCACTGCTTACGACCTCAGTCGTGCAGGCTGCACACCCCATGTCCTTCTCCAGTCTCCATGAGATGCAGCCACTGGGGCAGGGGTCTAACACCGTGCTTCCATCTTTCAGCCA